AAATTGTGGTAATGGACAAAGATTTAAATGAAATGAATATAATTAAGCAGCTTCTGGCCAAAGTGTAGAATCTTGTTGTGTTCATGGGACGTGTTAAAGTACTTACACACGAAAGTGATGCAGCATAAGTCAAACAGTCTAGATAAGAAGTATGTTAAAGATATAATTACGAAACTGGTTTTTGCACATACCGTAGATATATATCAAGGGCACTTGCAGGACTTGGAAAAAGCACTTGAAAATGACAAAGCCCTTCTGCAGTACTTTTACAAAAATTGGCTCAGCTGCAAGATCATGTGGGTTCATGCTTATCGTGCAAATGCGTGTAGTTTAGGAATTAATACTAGCAATCAAATGGAAAGCCATAATCAAAAATTAAAAATTATCTAACACGTGACATGCACTTAGTGGAAGCAGTGAAAGCTCTGATAAGGTATGTGACCCACGATGCTCTAGCACTCAGCCATACGCAATATAAAGAAATGAGAACTTGCATTGACACCAGTAAGACTGATAAGTTTTGGTGTCAGCAAAATGCACCGAATATGCTGGAAATTCGGTATGCAAAGAATATGGGCTGTTTATGAAATATCCAGGAGACTGTGTTGTCTCTGATGGCAAATGAACCGTTTTTGTTGGCAGTAAGCTTTATGAAGTTACTAATAATATGAGGACATGCATATGCACATTTAATGCGCAGTACCAGCTGCCCTGCAGGCACATTATTGCAGCTAGATAAAAAAATAATATGGAACTGTTGATGAAAGTTGTGTGTCAAAGCGCTGGCTTAAATCTGATTTTGTGCAGACCGACCAGACAGTGTCACCAGACAAACTAAGCATTTTAACTACAAGCATGATAAATAAGGTACAGCCAAAACTTGATAACTCAGAGGCCAGATATAAATATGCATATGCACGGTCTGTTGGAACTGTCAAAGGAAGCTGCTAATGTACTAGCCCAATGTAGCGCAACTGAACTTAGCGAAAAATTGAGCGAGTGTGAGGACTTTTTCCAAAATCTTGTTACTTACCCTATAAATAAGAAACATGATTCACCACTTCCTAAAATAGCACAAAGTAATGAACAAGTTAGTGGGGAAGGAAAAGGCTTAGAAAAGTCAAAAGAAGTAAGTAATTCGTGGAGTATAGACCTGAACGACTATCTATTGGCCAAGTCTGTAGATGATGACACTATGAAAAAGGGCTCCACAGAAGATAAATCGGAACTGAAAGTGCAATCTGGTCAACTTAAATCTGATTCAAAAGATGAAATTAACTTTACTATAGCCTCGCATGATAAGGTATGTCAGGTTCTAGCAAAGATATCGGACACTAGCTCTTCGCCTAGTAATTTTGCACAGCAACTGACAGCGCTTAGCATACCTCTAGTTAAATCCGCTCGCGGCCGACCACGTAAGAGATGTGCACATGATACGAAGCGGGGAGAAAAAAGACTATATTAGCATGTTTTGAAAAACTCTCAATTTAAAGAGAAGGCACCTGTGACAGTCATTGGTAGAACAGTGGAAGAAATTAGTGACCCTATAGCTGACGCGATTTGTGGTCCAAATAATTGCAAACCATACAAAATAAGTTCCTCTGATTTAGTGGCCTTACGAGGCACGGGATGGCTGTCAGATGCAATCGTAAATGCAGTGCAATTTATTATTTCGCGTCAGTTTCCTGGTCTGTGCAATTATCAGGATGTTCTTCTTGGGGAGAGCTTGACATTTAAGAAGCGAGACAACTTTATTCAAATTCTGCATATTCCTGGGCATTGGGTTACAGTGACAAATTATGGTGCCCCTACAAACAGTGTTTTTCTGTATGATTCGTTAGACCAGGACATTATGCCAAGTGGTGCAACTCAAGTTATGAACATAATGAGTCTAGCTTCTAATACTCTCACCATTCACGCTAAGGCAGTACAGCGTCAAGAGAAATGTTATGACTGTGGCGTTTTTGCCATTGCTAATGCATTCACCATTGCATCTGGCATCGACCCGTGCACCGTTGCTTTTGATAAGACCTTAATGCGCAGGCATTTAATATCATGTTTTGCAGACAATGAGATGGTGCATTTCCCTATTGCTCTAATGCAAGTGCCCAGGGTAAAACCAAAGTCAAGTTGCTTTTTTGTTCCAAAGTAATATTACATGTTTAAACCATTAAAAACATCAGCCTTAAACTGAAACCATGTAGTTCTATAGCTGCTGATTTGAGACTATCTATAGATTCCAACTCTAGGTTATTAATATATTCGGTCATCATCATTAGCATTCTTAGTTCTTCTGCCCCACAAAGAATTTTAAAATGACATTCTTTGGTCCGTGTTAACCAGTAAGACTGATAAGTTTTGCATTGAGGTGTAAGCAAAATGCACCGATTATGCTGGAAAATTGGTATGTAAAGAATATGGGCTGTTTATGAAATATCCAGGAGACTGTGTTGTCTCTGATGGCAAATGAACCGTTTTTGTTGGCAGTAAGCTTTATGAAGTTACTAATAATATGAGGACATGCATATGCACATTTAATGCGCAGTACCAGCTGCCCTGCAGGCACATTATTGCAGCTAGATAAAAAATAATATGGAACTGTTTGATGAAAGTTGTGTGTCAAAGCGCTGGCTTAAATCTGATTTTGTGCAGACCGACCAGACAGTGTCACCAGACAAACTAAGCATTTTAACTACAAGCATGATAAATAAGGTACAGCCAAAACTTGATAACTCAGAGGCCAGATATAAATATGCATATGCACGTCTGTTGGAACTTTCAAAGGAAGCTGCTAATGTACTAGCCCAATGTAGCGCAACTGAACTTAGCGAAAAATTGAGCGAGTGTGAGGACTTTTTCCAAAAATCTTGTTACTTACCCTATAAATAAGAAACATGATTCACCACTTCCTAAAATAGCACAAAGTAATGAACAAGTTAGTGGGAAGGAAAAGGCTTAGAAAAGTCAAAAGAAGTAAGTAATTCGTGGAGTATAGACCTGAACGACTATCTATTGGCCAAGTCTGTAGATGATGACACTATGAAAAAGGGCTCCACAGAAGATAAATCGGAACTGAAAGTGCAATCTGGTCAACTTAAATCTGATTCAAAAGATGAAATTAACTTTACTATAGCCTCGCATGATAAGGTATGTCAGGTTCTAGCAAAGATATCGGACACTAGCTCTTCGCCTAGTAATTTTGCACAGCAACTGACAGCGCTTAGCATACCTCTAGTTAAATCCGCTCGCGGCCGACCACGTAAGAGATGTGCACATGATACGAAGCGGGGAGAAAAAAGACTATATTAGCATGTTTTGAAAAACTCTCAATTTAAAGAGAAGGCACCTGTGACAGTCATTGGTAGAACAGTGGAAGAAATTAGTGACCCTATAGCTGACGCGATTTGTGGTCCAAATAATTGCAAACCATACAAAATAAGTTCCTCTGATTAGTGGCCTTACGAGGCACGGGATGGCTGTCAGATGCAATCGTAAATGCAGTGCAATTTATTATTTCGCGTCAGTTTCCTGGTCTGTGCAATTATCAGGATGTTCTTCTTGGGGAGAGCTTGACATTTAAGAAGCGAGACAACTTATTCAAATTCTGCATATTCCTGGGCATTGGGTTACAGTGACAAATTATGGTGCCCCTACAAACAGTGTTTTTCTGTATGATTCGTTAGACCAGGACATTATGCCAAGTGGTGCAACTCAAGTTATGAACATAATGAGTCTAGCTTCTAATACTCTCACCATTCACGCTAAGGCAGTACAGCGTCAAGAGAAATGTTATGACTGTGGCGTTTTTGCCATTGCTAATGCATTCACCATTGCATCTGGCATCGACCCGTGCACCGTTGCTTTTGATAAGACCTTAATGCGCAGGCATTTAATATCATGTTTTGCAGACAATGAGATGGTGCATTTCCCTATTGCTCTAATGCAAGTGCCCAGGGTAAAACCAAAGTCAAGTTGCTTTTTTGTTCCAAAGTAATATTACATGTTTAAACCATTGAAAACATCAGCCTTAAACTGAAACCATGTAGTTCTATAGCTGCTGATTTGAGACTATCTATAGATTCCAACTCTAGGTTATTAATATATTCGGTCATCATCATTAGCATTCTTAGTTCTTCTGCCCCACAAAGAATTTTAAAATGACATTCTTTGGTCCGTGTTAACCAGCAAGATAACTTTCTACAGGCGTTATTTATCCAGAAAATAATGCAAACCATTATACTATATGAACCTTGCTTTTAAAAACTAAGTGGTCTGAGGAAAAGTTGATAAATTTTGATGCCTATCGGTCAATAAAATGAACAGTGTAAATAACGCAGGCCAGAAAGTTATTATTTTTGCGGTATATTTTAGGGACCATGAGCATCCTAGCGTGTTGCAACCTTTTTAGATGTTTAAGTATATAAATGTATGAAACCTTTTAAAGGGGCCCTAAAGGCATACTGTTGGTGCACTGTTTGTGGTGCACTGTTTGTTCCGTGCTAAGAAAATGCCTTGTTTAAAAAGAAGTTATATATTAAGTGGTCAGCATGCTACAACTGGTATTTAAACAACTTTCCAAGTATGTCTTCTTGACATTTTGTCCCTTAGGTGGCGTGAAATACAGTAGTAGCAGGCGTGGTAGAAGGAAAGTTTTGCTATTATGAGCAGACACCGGTCAGTAGCTTAGGAGAAGCTTCTGTGGCACAGCTAGGTAATTTGAGAGAACTTTCACTGCCCCCCCCCCCCCCAACGTTTTTGGGGGATTTGAAGCTAGCCATGAGTCTTGTCGGCGGCTCTTAGTTCAAAGAAAAAAATAGAAAGAACCAAGCAGCATTTCATACCAGATTTGGGCGCACGTTAAAGAACCCTAGGGGGTAGAAATTTCCGGAGCTCTCCACTACGGCGTCTCTCATAATCATATGCTGGTTTTGAGACGTTAAACCTACTTATAAAAAAATAAGCATTTCATACCATATTTTAATGCACTGAAATCGTCTTTTCTACTGTGGACAGTTTCAGTAATTACTTTATCTGGGACTCGACTACGTCATTTTATAGAGTTACAGAGTTTGCAGAATATGGCATGGGTGACTGGAGCCTTATCATACATTTACTTCTTTCTTGGTGAACTAAGCCCTGTAGATAATACTGACGTTTAGGCATTCTTAAACTTTCACTCATCATTCGAACAAGAGAAATTTTTTGCCTTTAGCGTCCCTTTCAGATGAAGAAAATTTGTTCCTTTGTGATTGAATGCCTGACTTCATTTTCTAAGCTGTGCTCTGTGGAAACACATACTTCGGCAAAATGAAAGCTAATGCGGGCAGCTGGTGAAAATTTACTTTTCCAACTGTAAATAAATTTTATGTGATTGTATTACAATGTAAGATGTTCCTAATGCATTAACAAATAGTTCATATTCTGAACATTCCCTAGAAAACAGCATCATTTCTCGTAAAAGTCTAAATGTTTGCTATGGCAAAGTTTGATTCCATTAGACTGGCTGCAGTTTGAGGCAGCAGTTCAGCATGGCCTGTATTAGTTTCATGCTGTCTAAGTCTCTGGGCAGAGCCTGACCGCTACAGAGCGCGTTCTCGGGTGGCGGATAGAGAAACGTTCCATGATGTGAAGTTGCACAAAGCTGCTTCATATCATGGTACAGGCAGTTATGCCCGCGGACCAACAGGCATATAGTCATGGTTTATATTAGTGACAACAATATTTTTGCTGCTGTTAGCGGCCAGTAATTTTTACACATCACCCAAATTTAAGTCAGTGCATATACTTAGACATTGTGATGTGCGTGTAACATCAGTGCAGTGCTCATGTTGGTTACCATTCACGAGACCATAACAAGGACCTGCTGCCAGCCATCATGTCCTGGTCCTGACCTGCCTTTGGGAGGCTGACTCAGCCGTCTAGGTTGGCGAGCGGGTTCCTGCCACGATGGTGCAGTGACCAGCCACCATGGTGCATGCGTGGGTAGATCTGTCTGATATAAAGTGTTAATGCAGGCTTGTTAATACGTCGTGAACTTGCTATAAACAGCACTACAACTAGACAAAGAAAAAAGAAACAGAAGCTGCAAGGGACATCCTGTCTCTTGCAGCTCTATCTATCAGATGTTTTGATCTCTCTGCTCACATTTGGAGATTGTTTTCACACTGTGACTGAAGCACTTCTGCCCATGACTTATGGGTGAATTGGGCTTCTCATCTGCTTCAGCCAACAAATACACCTGCAAAGAATGAGTCTGCCACTGTGGATGACACCAGCATTGGAACTACTAGTGACTGTTTTTGTTTCAAATGTTCAGCAGAACTTCATTTAATTACAAAGCTTTGTTTGTCTTAGTAGTTTGGTAATGGGTGCAGTTTCAGTGTGATTGTTTTGCTTTTATTTAAAATTACTTTTATTTTAAATGTTTGACATTTGTGTGTGAAAAACTGGCTCATCCTTTCCTGAAACGAGACCCTGCCTCAGTAAAACGATCCTGCATCGCAGGCATGAGGGCTGAATGGCTGCAGCTGCTTCAATGCTGCCCAAGGATTAAGTGTTGATGTTTGAGAGCAGCAGCCATAGGCCGGTAGAAAAAGTGGAACCTATTTAAACTCACTCAAGAAATACGTTTCACCATGGAAACTCACTTGGACTCAAATTCACTTAAACTTAGCTCTACAGAACTAATTGGGACTCGCTAAACTGTTTGTCAACCACTCTCACTCAGGCTCAAACTTACCAACATATTACTCAGTACGGCACGCTCACACTAGCGATTTGACCTGTGTCTGAGTGAGCGAACAGCTGTCACTAGTCGCAATCCAATAAGAATATTTTTATAAAATATGCAGCTCACATCAGAAATTTTTGCCATGAATGTCCCATGAGCGAGTTTGTGAAGGGAGGTCTTGGTGACCCCCTTATCTCCTAACTTGCGCCTATGTGCAATAACCGCATGAACGGTTGTGTGTTGATGTATGCTTGAACAGACTTGATTAGCAATGTAAGCAAATATGACGTCGATAGTTATGCTGATAGGCGGGTATATAGGAACATAGGTCAGAAATAAAATGTGATGCTCACTAAGGCTCACCCAAAAAATACACGTTGAGCTTAGGGCTCACCACCTCAGACTTGCAAATATTTTCCTCACTCGGATTCAAGCTCATTAAAATTTTCCTTAGCCACACTCACTCTAACTCAAACTCATGTAATATTACTCAGCTGTACTCACTCAAACTCACGACTCGATCATAGTCCAAGTGAGCCTGGCCTCATTAACGTCCAATGTGCCATGATCGAATCAGGCAATCGCTGATACAGTGGCTGTAATGGGTAATTTTTGAGCTTGTAGCGCAATTTGTCGAGTGAAAGGAAAGCAACTTTCAGGTGAATTTGAACATTTATTGAGAAATTGTGGCCTTGTGCTGCACAACAATATTTGGCTCACGTGTTCTCGGGAGTCTTGACTACCGATTGGCCGCGTTTTACGACCATATTCAATAAGAGTTGCAGTGCCCCTTAAACTTTGAAGAGGTTTTGCGGCAGTGCGAATTCTCTTGGATAGGTGCTTTCACAGCATAGCACTCTATGCTTTAGTGAAATCACCTTCACAGGAGGTTATGTGCAGATCAATGTTAACTATTTGTTCATTGCAAGTACTTCAAAATTTTAATAATTTAAAATCGAGTCGAAGTGAGTTTGAATACAGTACTGTTCCTTCAAATATTCGAAGCATTCGAATATTTGCACAACCCTGCTTTTTTTAGTTAATATATTTGTATTTTTTGCTCTTTCTACGCAATTGGTTTCTCCCCTTGTTTTTTTCTCTTTCTCTTCTTTCTAATGGTTCTCCCATCTTCTTTTTCACTCTCTCCTTTGCATCCTCCCTTGCCTTTCCGACCCCCTATACTATTTACTATTTAAGGCTATGATTTCTTCTGTCACCATGCATAAATAGCTGAAGAGTTATTATGCTCAGCTTTCAATTCGCTGGTTCGAATATTGCCTCGGGTAAGCAAAAAAAAAAAAAAACAAGAAGTATTCTTGTTTTCTTTTCTTCTGCTGCTAGGAAGTGGTTCATTGCAGATGGGACCCGTCTTCTAAAGCTGCACAGGTTCGGAGGTGCCAGTTAGCTTGCCAGTATTCATTCAAATGTTATGACTGGCAGTGCAAGGACCAAGTCTGCAATAGACGCTCATTGGCGTACCAGCCAAATGTGGTACGCGTCCAGCAGAAACGCAAGAGGTGTCTGGGTGTGCTGCAGGGAACACGCAGCAGCGTTGCTGGGACAGACAATTTGTGTTTGAGGAGAGGCGCATGCACGGACCGAGGATATGAAAAGCGCGTTGCGTGTGCATTCAGGGCTCTCTCTGTGGCTTTCGTTACGGCCAGTCCTGTCTCCTGTAAAAGCGCATCTCGACGCCTTGTGTTTTTTACAATTGTAAATATGTAAATAAATCGTGTGTTTCTGTCGTCAAGAAGCCTCTCAAAGGTGTCTTCTTCCTTGGCACCTGGGTGAAAGCCTGTGCCCCTAACCTCGGTCACATCAAGGTGTGCTTCCCAAAAGTATCGCTGTGGTATGTATTGTGTGCTCACAATTGACAACAATGAAGGCATGGCTAAACTTGTTCCTGGTTTATCAAAAGCCTTCTTGCAATATGTGCCTGTTTCAAATATATGAGGACTAGGTTTTCTTTTTTTTCAAGTCCAAATTTGCTCGAGATAAAACTACAGCGAATTCAAGACGCTCATGTTTGGAAGATTTAAGTAGACTTTCCAGCTGCCCCTTTGCATAGTTGCCACTGCAATTAAGGCATCTGTTTTGGCCCTGTAGCAGTTTTTTTATGCCCCCCCCCCCCACACACACATTAAAGACAGCCAAGTCAAATCTGTATGCCACTCACTGTCTGTAGATTGTTGTCTACCCAACCTGCTTCAATATTTTTATACTGTTTTCACACTTTGCGGCCACCAGGGTTGCCACCTTTTCTTAAAAAAAAAAACAGGCCCTTCAACGAGGGAAAGAGGGAGGGCCGAGGATACCTGGAGATTAATGTCCTACAATAGACACCATGTCAGGTCTCTGGCATACAGTGCCATTTGAAAATAATATTGCTTTCCTTGAGTCAAATAAACCTGACATAAACGCAAAAAAGGCTCACTGAGCTAACCTATTAGTCTAATTGCTGGCATAAAAATATTCATGGTTAGAATAATGCTTCATCACTTAAAAAAGAAAAATTGAGCGATCCTTAAAGTTCGCTTTCAAGAATTGAACACGATAATGATACCCTGGCCCTAGTGAGTACTTCAAGCACTTGGTGCATGAAATCTTTTCGAACTTGGTATGCACTCACTATGTGGCCTGAAGGAAATGTGTGCAGCAAAATGTGTGCATTTTGTTATGGCTGGCCACCTTTTAACTATGAAGTCCTTAAGATAATCACATGTTCTGATGCCTGATTACAATGCACACTTGTATCAAGAAATATTACTGTGATATTAGATATTGAATTGTGAAGGCAGTATACAGGACACATGTTTTTGCAAAGCCTAACATTATCTTCACTGCATTTTCAAGCAGATGAAGTTATTTTCCTTAATTTTCAAGCAGATGTGTGGCTGTGCGGTAGAACGCCTGCTTGCCATGCAAACGGCCTGGGCTTGATCCTTCCGCAAACTGGGAAATTCTTTATTACTTATTTATTTGCATCTTTCTTGATTTTTCCGGTTGCTCACAAGGTTCATCACTCACAATCAACGATGCCCACGAGATTTTTAAAACTATCGCGTTAAAACTGGCATAAAAGGGTAACAATGTATGACTGATTGAATAGGCTTTTACAGCTTATGCCAAATCACATTGATGTGATGTTGAAATCCCTAGGTCCATTGTTAGACTACCAAATCTCATGGCTTTCACTTTTATGTCTGTTTAGGGGTACAGCAATTAACTGGCAAGGAAGTGTAAATAGATCTTTCTTTATTTGGAAACATGCAGAAGTATGATAAAGTTAAGCTCCCTTTCCCCTGAGTAATTTGAGTTGTATATGTATTTTGAAATGGTGTTTGAAAATCACAGCAGCTGTGCCATTACACCGCTTCGTGGCAAAAGCTTAGTATCGTGTTCTGGAGAATTTCTGCACGTTGCCTGCTGCAGCTCAGAGAATTGTTGATCTAGTTAAAATTATATAGTATATATATTGCATTCTCACTTTCAATTTTGCTTTTTATGCAATTGAACTTACCCTTCGTGAATTCATCGATATTTTTCACATAGTAACAAAAATTTGCAGAACTTCATGCCTAAAAATAGCGTGACACAATCTTCACTAAAATATGGCCATCAATTTATGAGAAAAAAGTGGGACGCATGTGGCTCATCGACCCATGAAGCATCTTTGAATAAGTGGGGCAACACATGTCACATTGTCTCATAAGGGCACTAAGCTGTAATTCTGCTGCCAAATTTCTCGCCCAAAAAGGCCCAATGGAAGCAGTACAGAGGAACACTTCTAAAACTGTGGGAGAAAAATTGCAGTGAACCTTAATTTCAGATTTTCTATGCAATTCTGCGCCTCTGCCTGTGACATTGAGTCTAGCGGCTCTGTCCCAAGGTCTTCACATACAGGTACCCTTTCAGCTTGTGTCTGTCTTGTCGGTAGGTGGCGATAATATTGAAACTCATCGAAAACAAGGAGAAAACAGCAGGCATAGATGAGTGCACGCATTCATATGAAAACAAAGAAAAAGGAGAATATTGCTTTTCATTCACATTTAACGAAGCTGTGTCTATGCATGTCTTGTCTTGTATCTGCAATGGATAAGGGCGAACATCTCAGTTAAGCCTGCATTTTTGCAAATAATTAAAATTGTGGTAATGAATTATGGCAAGCCACTTTGACGTGGTGTCAATGCACTGAATGCTGTAAGTGTGTTGACAAAAGCTGCATCATATTCATGAACTCTATTCAGGTGTGACATATTTGCTTTTCTCATATATCTTGCATGATTTGATGATCTTGAAAATTCGTGTTCTCTTTGGCTTCCTGGCTGTATGAAGCAGCAATTTTGCCATATTTTTCCTTTGGCCCAAAATTTTAGCAACATTGTCTTAGCCACAGCTTTTAGTCTTATTGCCTCTCCTCATAATGATAAAAAATATCAAAGAATGTGCTGTTTTGTGGCATCCATCAAACACGAAAAAACAGTTATGCATGTATGCTATGTTGTTAGGTGGACGAGCGAATCATACAATAAACATATTAAAATCAGTCACGAAACAAGTTGCACGAATGATCCATAGAATAACATATCACAAACAGGGCATGAAGGAAGGAGACACAATTAGATTAGTACAGGCACTTGTACTGTGTAAGGTTACGTATAGTCTTCCTTTCCACGTGTTAAACAAATCAGAAGAAGAAACCATCGAGTCCATAATTAGGGGCGCCTACAAAGTGGCCATAGGGCTACCGGTGAGCACACCAACCCAAAAGCTTTTGGACCTCGGTATATATAATACATACCCTGAGCTAAAGACAGCGGTACTGACTGCGCAGAGAAACCGTCTAAGTCAAACGAAAGCGGGGAGAGAGATACTTTCTAGGGTGGGCTTTCCGCCATACCCCCAGAACATGGACGAGGTTCTTGTAGAAATCCCGGATCCCGTCCGCAGCAAGATCTCGATCTCACCGTTGCCCAAGAACATGGACGTAAAAACAAACAGAAAGCGCAGAGAGGAGAGAGTGCGATGGCTCCGAAAAACATTCAAAAACAAATCAAATGTTTTGTATGTGGACGCTTCAAGGTACAATTTTAAACGGTCAGTTGCATCGGTACTTAGCAACGACAACTGCATGGTGACATGTACATCACTGTACACGTCCTCGATCGCCAAGGCGGAATGCTTTGCCATTGCCCTTGCAATCAGGGCGCAGGAACAAAGAGATGAACCGCAGACAATTATCATTTCCGACTCACAGGAAGCGTGCCGTTTCTTTTTAAGAGGCCGCCTTCCATTAAAAATAAGCAAGTTCTTAGGCGGGAGCTTGAAGAACAAATACAGACTGATCTGGTGTCCAGGACACGCAGGCCTGGAGGGGAACGAAAGTGCTGACGCTTGTGCTCGAGGGCTCACGAACCGAGCAGAGCTTCGACAGCACATTCAATCCTTTGAAACACTCCAGGAGGAAGCTATCGAGGAGGATAATGACCCATCCAGAATGGCCCCTCGCGAAATTCTTGCTAACCAGCGAGGCATGCGACAAAAATACAGCGCCCCCCACAAATCATTAGAAAGGGAGGACGCAATTGACCTCTGCCGAATTCAAACGGGAGTCTTTCCCAATCTTCAAAGGTTACACAAAATTTTTCCAACGCTGTATGGGCGTGCTTGTCCGTGGTGTGGCGGCTCGCCATCGCTCTACCACATTTCGTGGGGATGCCTAAAACGTCCACCAAATTTAGATACCTTTCTAGGTCAGTACAAGCTTTGTAATACTTTCAAGCAATGGGAGGCACAGCTCGCCAGCTCTGACCCAGAGGTGCAGCTTGCACTTCTGCGGCACGTCAGACAGACGGCGGCAGCCAGTGGAACCCTGGACTTGGGGCCCCACCCATCAAGCTCATGACCCCTGTCCCAAACCCTTGCAAATAAAGTTTTTCCTTCCTTCCTATGTTGTTAGGCTATGCAAGGAACTGCTTCATTTTTCATTCGAATGCACTTCCACAATGATTTTAGGCAGATATAATTTTTGCAATTTAAAAAGAAAATCTATAGTTGCACGCTAAAATTCTTTAAAAAACCTGAACAGAAGAATACCATAAATTTGAAACTTTAGCTACCTGGTACGCAATATGACACCGGCTGAAAAAAAAAATTAACAGAATAAAAGATTTTAAACTCAACGTATCACTGATACCATGCATTGTAAATGTGCAATATATAGTTTCTCAGTTTCCTTAATGTTTCTGGTACACCACAACTGGAAGGTATTGTGCTGATGGCAACGTAAAGTGGCAGAGAAAGTTTTACTGAGGAAAAAGTGGGATGCATTCATCCTATTAACCATCAAAAGGTTAAGAAACTGATGCTCAGCAGTGGAGCTTCCTCCACAGCAACAAAAAACCTGCATTGAACCACAGTGCATGCACACACCATCTCTCCAGCACTTTGCTCATGCACTCTGTCATGGCAGAGTTTGGTACCAACGCAGTGGACAGCTGTAGGCCACTGTTTTCAACATGTGTTGCATATAAGACTCCATCAGCAACAACATTTGGTGAAAACTGTTTCATTGCCTTTTTTGTCTTGCCAATGCGTGATTAGACATTCTGAATTACGAGCTTTCCAGTGACATAAAATAAATGTACAGTAAAAAAATTGATTGGCCGTAGGAAATAATCAGGCCCTCAAAATCCACAGAACCGTTAAGAAAGGGTAAGTATTCATTGGTACAAGCACATTCCTGGAGCT